GAAAAATGCCAAAATAAATCAAACTAGCCCTTTTGTATTGCTTGCTCGAAAATCATTTGAGTGAAATTTACATAAGCAGCATCTCAAGCTGAGCATGTGTTCCACAGTTGTGAAGGGGGTAAAAATATTTAGGTACTATGTTGTCTCATACTCGAAGCAAATTATCCACTTCACCCCATACCCACACGACATTCCATTTCGGTTAGTACGAAAATTCCCGTTTCGACCATCACATAAATGTACTAGGAGTCGAACACCGCTGGTGTTTGCTGAACCTACGGAAATAATTGTGCATGTTGATGTGACTTTTCGATTCTCGGTTGTTTCGTGTTGAGTGGACAAAAGAAAAGTTCTTAAGTAAAGCTGAATGCGTGTTCTTGTGTCTCTGTCTTTACGTACATATGTTCCATATAAAAAATTCAACTTCTACACAAGTCCGGACCAAACTTTGCGAACGTACGCTTTGGGGCGGGCGGTCGTGGGCTATCTTTGTTATTGATGGATATCGATTTTAACGATTTTTTGAAAAAATTGAGCTACCTGGCTGGGAGTTGGCGCAGGGGTAAGTGAGCATTTTGATAGTAACAACCGCTTGCGTTTTGACACTTCGCAATTTCTCAACAGTATGAATGAACAGAGATCATTCAAATGGTTCAGATACCCAGCAATGTATCACGTCCCTGCTTCGACAGAATGAGGCACTTTGAAATATTAGGGGGTCATAAAAGCGTTGTTTGGAGTGGTACGAAGTGGTGAGTTTTGACTCTTTTATCGACACGAACTGAGAAAGCCGCGTATTCTTAACTAGTTTTCTCTGAAAAGTTCAATGGCAAAACTCAAGATCATTTTATCATGTTTTTCTCATCCTTTTTCATTAGTCTTCGTATCTAAACCGTTCACTTCTTTCCTATGTTTCTAATTCTTTCTGGATGGTGTGGCTTTTTCCAAATCGTCCCTTAGCCGCAGGACCTTCTTAGATAGAATACAAAGATTCAAATTTCGTCATGATTTCCATTCAAATGTGCACGTACGAAATTTTCCAAAATGCATGCTTTGTACATAAGTTCATTTCATAATTTCTTAGCCCCATTCGAATTAGCATGTTTGTCGTAACAATTGCGTCACGAAAAGATAAGCTAAATATTCTTATAACATTAAAGTGTATTCTAGGTTCTTACGTCAGTAGTTTAGGAATCAGTTCACTTTGAGAACGAAGAAAAGCTATGGGTCTAGCAGTTTCGTAACGAGGACTACGTTGCGCCGGAAAAATCTGTCGATATGTATCCTTCCAAAAATCAAATGGTACTGTGAATGTGTTATGCTCAATGTGATCATGTGTTATGTATTAGGTTGTCCGGAAATTAATGCCCGTTTTGAATTTCAACCGCAATAAGTCATACACTTCTCAGTTCTAAGTAGGCTGCAAAGTACCGTTCGATAGAGCAAAGCAAGCTCTACAAGATCGCCATCTTGCTTTTGCAACAGCTCTCATCTACCTCGAATTTTGGGCCAAAAACTAAAAAGACTCAGCAGCCCGAAAAATCGAGAAAAATCATAACTCGGTTCATAAGAGACCTACAAAAATTCTAACTTGCTCACGTTAAACTATCCACATAAGACATCTATGTACGCCGTTGCCGTATTTTTTACTTTGTTAGAAATCAAGAAAACGGAAATTTTCACGCTTTTGCCAAAGTAATGCTGTGCGGTTCCCACATAAGTAGATGATCACTACAGACCTGTCGAAGTGCAAAAGTAGATTTCCAGCTCTCTACAAGCTTTAATTCTCGAGAAATTTGAATTTTAGCTTGGGCCACCTAACTAGGGAAAGCTGTATTCGGTATTTTTCGAGAACTAAAGCTTGTAGAGAGCTGAAAATTTAAGTCTGTACTTCTACAGGCTTGTGGTATACAACTACCTATGTGGGAACGCACAACACCATTTGGCAAATGCACAACAGTTTCCGTTTTCTTGATTTCTAACAGAGGAAAAAATACGGTAAAGGCGTATATAGATGCTTTATGTAGATAGTGTTTACGTGAGCAAGTAGAATTTCTTAGGATTTTTATGAAATGAGTTACGATTTTTTTTCGATTTTTCGGGCTGCTAAGTCTTTTTAGTTTTGGCTCAAAACTCGAGGTGGATGAGAGCTGTTGCAAAAGCAAGACGCCGTCTTGTAGAGCTTGCTTTGCTCTATCGAATGGTGCTTCGCAACCTATTTGGAAATGAGAAGTGCATGACTTATTGCGGTTGAAAATCAAAACGGGCATTAATTTCCGGACAACCTAATATATTTCACATCAGTTATCCTGACATTATTTATTGCCAGTGAAGAGTAAACGCAACCAAAACAGCTCTTCGATCTATGCAGATCATTCGGTACTGAAACGGAAAACTTTTACAAAGCTTTTAAAGAAATGTTTCGTAGCTAATAATAAGGTTACCGATTTAAAAATGGGCGCAAAAATCATTACGAGATCTGGATCGTCCTAGATTTCTTTCCTTGCCAAATATTTTTTTTGCAGGCGTATCAGTCTTGTACACATATTCTACTTCTTACCTTATTGAGAGTTTAGAAAATTGCATAGAAACTAAAACCTCCCTTGTTAGTTGGATCGAGTTCCATCCAACTAAGGGAGGCATGTTTAGTCGAAGTACCTTTTCAAGAGACCCACACTGCTTTGGAGAGCTTTGCACAATGATTCCAAATCTGCCTTCATTATCTGCCAAGCGGCTTTCGACGCCGAATATGAGCGTTTTTCGGGACAAAAAGTCAAATGCGAAACTGAAGCGAAATCGCCCAAATTGGCTCAAATGGTCCAGTGTTGAGTATCAGAGCAGTTTATGCAATGGGTACATTTTGTCTAATTTGCTAATACTTAACACTGCTTTATTTGGACGGTTGGAAAGACTGCAACATTCGATTTTACCCAAATTTTGTGTTCATTTTTCGCTCCAAAAACGGTTATGATTCGGCGCCCAGAGCAGGGCTCGGCACGAGGTGGCTAGTTGAAAATGCAAAAAACGAAGTCCCCCTTGACACGCTAACGAACAAATCAAACATGAAAACAAAAAGAATGAAATAGAATACAAAACCGACAATAAATAGGCAATAAGAATTAGCGATTGTTTGTATTCTCCGGGTTGGCGGCTTGCTGTGTCCGCCGCGCGCCACCGCGAACTTGGAGCACCTTTGCCGCTGCCATCCAGATAGTTTGGAGGGCTATAACTAGGCGGGGAGGAGAGGGTTTGGGGAAGTACAAGAGCTGTTTTGTAGAATATTAGATGTAGATTACTTTTGTGCAAAAAATTTGAAAATTATATGAAGAATAGGGATTATATGACTTTGTTTGCGCTAAGCCACCTTAGGTGGCTTGAAAGCCGCCTAACCCTGAAAAAAGTTTTCGATGCCCTTAGTCCACATAGTTTTTTCATAATTTTTCATACATAGTCCCAACTCCCCATTGCCCATCTATGCACCTATTTTGGTGTCATTCATCTTCACTTCGCTGCAAATAAATTCTTCGTTTATTTGCTGGCGGCATGCCGGCAGCGTGCCAGCAGCAGATCGAAAGACAGCTTATGCTCTTCCGCAAAAACGATATCCCCTTTCTTTTTCCCCCAAAAACGATATCCAGCTTGCTTTGCAAGCCACCTGTGCCGAGCCCTGGCCCAGAGGCGCTTGGCAGATAATGAAGGCAGATTTGGAATCACTGTGCAAAGCTCTCCAAAGCAGTATGGGTCTCATTTCAAAAGGCCACTTCGACTAAACACATTTCCCTTGTAAGTCGAAATTGGTACTTGATATCACTTGAATCAAATTCAAATCCATTGAAGACCCCCGCTCTATGCTGTTATGTTCTAATTTCCTGCTGCTACGTTATTGTTGCTCTTATGTTGCGAGTTTCTACGCACTAGTAGTGCGAAGTGCGTCAGTTGTCGTGTTCTTGACTGATTGTAAAAGATGAAAACATATATCGAAAGGGCATTCTTCTGAACATAGACCTTTTTCGAGGTAGAGGAAAATGCTCAAGAGGTTTGACGTTTGAATCGTAAATGCAGAATTAAACTTCGAAGGCTGCGATAAGAATCAAGATAAGCTGAGTTGCTTCTCTTTACAGAGAAACACATAATTTTGAAACTTCGAATTTACTCCTTTTGCACTCTCATATCTTACGAAGAGACAAAAGAAGAGACAAAGAAATTGAAGAAAAAGAGTTAAAGTAATTGATTCTGACATTTTTGCAACTGACATCATTTTCCATAGCTTTCATCGCCTCGACGTTCTTCCCAATACGATGTCGGAAAGACAAGGTACGACTTTTCAGTGGAAGGGCCTTCGAGCTTTCTATAAAAATTACGTTAAGCATTGGAAAAAAACTATATCCAGATAACAGACTGAAGTGCATGTTGATTACTGAACCACAAGCTTGCCACAGCGAATAATTTTTAAGGTAACTTTCTGGATGATGGCTGACATAAGTTTCGTGTTCAAAATAGCTATATATCATTTAAGCAGAATCAAAACTAAAAATTTTAAAGACGAATTTCTTCACGACAACCTCGTTCGTTTTTCAAAATTAAATGACTCCTGGATGAGTTAAACCAGCATTTGAGAATGATATCAGACATGTGCCTATGTTATGACTTTTTTCTTGGATTGGCGAGTGAGCCACTGATTTAATAAATTTCGAGATTCAAAATTCTTTCTTAAATTCCTTCTTGACACTGTGCAGCAAATAGACTCAGCCGCAAATTTAATATGATGTAAGGAACTGCGAATTACTGTATTCAGTGAACTGGCAGAAAAGCTGCTGATTCTAACACTCCTCTCCAACCCCCTCCGCAAAATATAATGAGTATCAGAATCCATTATTCGCATTGCTTTGCCGGCACATCCAAGATGTGGCGGTTCGTTCCTGTCAAAAACGCATTAACTCTTACACTCCGTACTCTTTGATTGGCCGGGATTTATGTGTGGGGCTGTCAGTGTCCGAGCCAGACAGCTCCCAAGCATGTTGATGAGCCTGACCCTGCTCATTTTTACCATCATTTCTAAGGTCATTTGCGCTGAAGGTAGGGTATCTAAGAATTTCAACCCAAAATACCACGCCTACTTTTTTTTTCTGTATCCCCACATGTTCTGCACTTTCCAGAGTTCTCGGAGCCTCGCCTGGTGATTACTCCTGAAACCAATCCTGTACAGAAGCCTGCTGGAGCTCAGATTCCCCTGCTATGTAAGGTCGAAGGAGTACCGGAAGATGTTCGTCCTGGGATCATTTGGGTCAAACATGATGGACTCGACAGGTGCGCATTTATTGTCTATTATGTAGCCTAGCTGATTTTTTGATTTTTTGGTGGATGGTGCTCGTGCACTGTCGACAACATTTACGCGTAATTTTTTTCGACTCACAGGCAAGTTGCCTGCATTCGCACGCATGGCAATAGTTTCCGGGCAAACGTTGTCGGCTATGTGAGAGCGCTAAATTTACCATTAGATCTACTAGTTTGTAGCTATTATAATAGTAAGCTATGATCAGTCCATACGTTATTTGTAATTCCTCCTTTCTTGTATAGGACCGGTAACGTTGAAGTCAAATCTTTGGACCATCAAACGATGAGCCTTCTCATCAAAAACGCCACATCCGAAGATTCCGGCGTTTACACATGTCAAGCTCAGATCGGAAGTGTGTTGCTAGCTAAAACAGTCGATGTCATCATATTCGGTATGCTCTGTACCTTCTGTGGATTACGGCTGATATTGTGCAACTGCGGTGACGACAACATTTACGCGAAAACAAACGCCATGCTTTCAAATGCCAACAGATAGCCGGCGACTTGCACCTGAATGTAGCCGTATAGCGCGCATTCCGCTGAATACGCACAAGTGTTGCCTCCAACGCAAGCACACATTTTATTAGTCATCAAATCCAAGCTATAACTCAACTACTTTCATATGGTTTTTGTGTATGCTTTTACGTTTGCCTGCGTCCGAGTGCCTTGACACTTTTCCAAGTCACTCATTTTTCAGAAAATTTCGACTTCGCTGACAAGACAACGGATATTGGTGCGGTGATGCCTACAGCTGCTGTAAATCTAAGCTGTGAGGTCTGTTCTGTAATACCCAAAAAACACATGAGAGCTTTTGTTTGTTCCAGGTGACTCCATCTTCAGTCAAGGTTCGTACAGTATGGACCCGTGGTGGAGTACCCATCGCCCAAGGTATCAATTAGTCAGAGACGTTATGTGTACATGCATCTATTTTAAAGAAATTCAATTAGTCTCGAGCCATTCTTGCTAGAAGCGTAGATTCATGAATACTTATTTTTACCTTCCACCATTTTTTCGCTCTTTTTCCTTGCCTTTTCTCTCGTCATCTTAGCGTTTGCCGCTGCTTTTCGAAGCCTTTATTGAATCTAAAAAATAGGTTTGGATTTGTGTCAAGACAAAAATGTCCAACAAGGCGTTTGAGAGCGTACCGCACCGTTAATCTTTTCGAAAGATGATTTTTTCAATTGTGAGCAGCGCAAAATCTAAGGAATCAAACAATGCCTATTATAGACTACATACTGTACCATACGATGTCAACTGCTTGTTTTAGGACAGGATGGAAAATACAAGCTTTATAATAATGATGCCATATTGGAAGTATCATCATACGATCCTACCAAAGACGCCGGAGAATATGTGTGCAAGGTAAGTTGTTCAGATAGTAGTTAGAACTTCTTTCTAGACTTGAGAAAGGAATTTCGTTGCTGATGAAACGTGAAGAGCACTTATGGCATTTGGCATCAAAACTAGAAAACGCCTTGAATTAAAATTATATGAATCCCGCCCGCTCATGATGTGATTGATGCGGTCAAAATTTTGAAATACAGCACTCACTCCTGAAGAAAGTTTTCGACCACATCTACGAATGAGAGTTGCCTGCTTAAAGATATATAATATATTGATATGGTGCCAATTTCATTAATTTATCGATATTAGAGATCATAAAAGTCTGAAAAATCGATCTGTTAATAGTACTCCAGCAGCTTCTGTCACTGTCGCAAAGAATCACCTACCTCAGTGACCATGTCAGTAAGTAAGCTTCAAGTTTTCACTGGTAATAGAATGATTGAAAATCTAAAGACATGCAGGTGCTCTATAGTTGGCGAACTACTTGTCAAATGTTGCTCTGCTACTAGTTATCGTGTGACATTTATTAAAGGAAAAATGGCAGTTGCCATTAGAGATCCCCAGTTTGAGCTTTTTGTCATTTGCGAGCACTAACAGTGCAATCAACTCCTTCGGCCCCGAAGAGTTACGGGGTGGGCGGAGTTGGCCAGCCGCTTCTCCAGCAATTCGGGGAGATCCAATTGACCAGTAGCGACCATGGGCGGAGAATTCGACCGACATCACACCCGTCTAATTCCCCTGCACCCCAACAAATCGCTCGAAGAGGTTGCCGGCGAACCCCAACCACTCCGAACATTAGGTTAGAGAAGAGTTTTCGATGCATTTGCACGCAGAAAACCACGGATTCTGGCTCAGCATGCTCAAGGTTCGGATTTTATAAAAAAAGTAAAGAAGAGGGTGTGTAAATTCCTTCAAGCTTTTAGAGTGTCGTTCCACCAGCTTTTCTAGCATTAGTCATAGCCTATTCATATCTAGGATGCGCACATTTTTCTGTTCTTTCCGAACAAGCTACGCATGGTCACCCGTGAATCTTTTGTGAACATAAAAACAATCGTGATGTTTGCGTCGTCGCTCTAGCGCAGAGCGATGACTCATGCGCGGAAGTGCATTTTCTCATGATTTCTCATGACTTGTGGAACGACCGGTTGATGTACGAGTTTTGACGTTTTGACGCTAATCATGGACTAGAACGTCTCCTTCAACTTTTGAAGGCAAACGAATGATGGAGAAAGCTAGACATATACAATAATAGAAATTGCATCTTTTTGTGAACTATACGAACTCCATATATATCCACACCTATCAATTATTAGGCTAGTCCATGAGTCTTGCACCAAAAAATACCAAAAAAAATCAAGTATAAAGTGCTCGAACCACATTTCCATTCATTGAATATATTTTCGTACTACATGACAGACAATCCATCCTGCTGTGCGTAGAAGGAATTTTATTCGAAACAAAACCGAAATGTCAAGAATTGGAATGAGTAGGTCGTAAAATTACATCAATAATACAATTGCATTTCTTAGATCTTTTGCATTTTTAACGACTGAAAATTCAAATAAACGCTTTGATTGCTGCACGTTCGTTGCTGTTTTTCCCCTTTCGTAACCTCAAGTGTCACACGCAGAAATTTTTTCGAGATTTATGACTGTTTTGATTCCACAAAAATTGGATGAGATTCTATTTGAATACCCTTTCACCTACTGTACACTCAATATGAGTCACTTACTCGTTTCTCTTCAATAAAATCTCACCAAAGTTTAAAGAGCACAAAAGTCTAGTTTTTCTAATGATATCTGCAACATCGAGAAGGGAACATGAGAAATGTTGACATATAAGCTGTGAGACTCTTTGGCGTTGTTTTGTCAAAGGGAACGATTTGAGAAAGTTTTGTTCAAAGTTATGTCCTATATCAGCTGTATGGGAGATCGTATGTGGAACGCTCGTAGGAAAACTTTTAATATAAGAGTGAGAAGCGAAGCAAACAATCTTGGCTGACAAAAAATTGTTGAATCTCCATGGTAGCAATGTAATCATTTTCTTTAGGTTTTCCATCCCATAAGCGGTTCCACACTCTACAGGAGAATCACCATAGGTTTGTAGATACTAATTATTTTAGTACCTAGAACATAGAAAATACGACTATCATTTATCTCGTCAAGTTTTAGGTACGGAATCCGAGACTAAGCAAGTATTCTGCTCCAAGATGTGCAATAATATCTGCCATCAGATGTATCAACCATTTCGAAATTTTTAAATATGACATGGATGTCAATCAAATAAAATTCTTGCCTCTTTGATGTAACTGTAAACTGCACTTATTGTTGAAATAAAGTTATTTCCCCTTGAGTATATAATTTGCTCAAAACAGATAGAAAACGAGAACTTCAGTTTTACATTTCAGCTAATATATGATACACTTCGACTCACTGGAATTTCACTTATTCTCCGTTATTTAAGAATTTATTCCCAGTTATTGAAAAATTTACTGAGTAAATCATCAGGTTTTTGCTTGCAGTTAAATAAAATAAATAGATGAGTTGGATTTTGGCTCACCTACGACATGAAGGGTTATCTCAATATCATAGAGTAAACTGAATCTTCAAAAATGTGTCATAGATTACAAATGAGAAGTCCAGTATTAAATTCCAAAAAATTGAGTTTCAAATTAGACTTTTGAAGTTGTGGAACCGGTTTCATTTCGAAAAAGTGCTTCAAGTATCTCTGTCAATCTTGTATCTTGTATATCCTTCCATATGGTTATAGTCTTTTGTATAATTATATTCATTTTTATCAACACTTTGTATATTCCCAATATCCTTCCATATTATTATCGGTCTGCCTCTCATTGACACATATTCTTAGGAAATTAACATAAACCACCGCAAGAGGTCTCAAAAACGAGCAATTAATCCTTGCTAGTGCAATTTATGCTGACATTCTCAAGGACAACACAATGATCAGGGGGCCAACAGCTGATGCTATGGCAGCGGACGAGTCGTCGAAGTCATACGAGAAGTGCAGCATTCTCTCATACTTTTGACGTTTCTGTTTTTTTTTCTCGGGATAAAAATAGAGTTTTAAGGTTTGAAAGATTTTCTTAAAATTTTGATAGTTCTATGGCAGCACCTGTTAGCCAGGATACCCATCTTCTGTATATAATGACCTTATCCGACGCCGCTCAAGAGCAGTCGGTCATCGTTTGATCCCCTATCCGCGCGGATGACGAAGATAGGCGTAACGGGGGGGGGGGGGGGGTGACGATGGACCGGTTCTCACGCCATACACACAATCGCGTATATGTGACATTCTTCTGCTGTTCTGTGTGCGGTTTCAGGTCAAAAGTCTCTTGGTTAATTCGCTGGAAGGATGTACAGTCTAGGTTTCTTTCGTAATTCGTGCAATTGCACATTTATCAGTTTGAAGGGGCTCATGCTGCATAGATGTTGTTTTTCTAGTGTTTTTTCTTTTTTCTTTTCTTCGTTATTGCGTGGGCACATTTGTATTAGAGTAAGCTTAAATGATTATACTTCGGATATTCCTTACCTAAAAAACAGCCGTTGCTACTTCACCATCCTGGAAATTGTGCAGTTGCAGACATCAGCTAAAAAACGTGCGCTAATGTAGGCATTTTATCCTGCCAAAACTTCTAATTCTTCTGATTCACTGCATATTCTTAGTCATATTGTTTGCTGACTTGTTTTCACTAGCTGTTTGTCCCACCCCTTGCTATTTATACATCTTCAAAATGATAAATAGAGCACGATTTCTGACTTCTCGACTGACTGACGGACCGCGATTATTCGTATGTATGCGCTGATGCTCGCGCTGCGATGCGATGACTCATCGCGCTCAGCTACCTGCGCGACCCACTTCACCTGATGGCGACAGCCGTTCGCCCTGTGCTCAATCACACACGATCTTGATGCCACGTAAAAACTTTCCCTTTTTCTCGTGGTTTTTCTGCTTAGGGAAGAGCTGATGCGCGAATAATCGAGCAAAAAAGTTCCTTTGTTTATTCAGCTGGGATGGATGTCAGTGCAGGAATCACCGGGAATTGTTTGAGCAGGGCGAGCTGACCTTTATTCGGAAGTGCGACTAGTGTTAGCTCATGCTAGTAAGTTGAAACTTCCAAAAAGGGAAAAATTCAATTCAAAAAAAGTAAAGTATTGTATTAATGTCTTCCATCGTCTCGTAGTTGCGTTACCTTCTAATTTCTCAACATTATTAATAATTTATTTGTAGAATAAACTAGCACAGTTCCACAGCTGCTTGACTTCTTTATATCATGCATGAGACTGGAATAAGTAATTTCTTTTCTTTTCCCATGCTTTATTCTTTTCTCAGTTGGTTCCGTCTAGTTCTATCTGCATTCTTATGTTCTGCATGCTTGACCGTTTTACTCACTCAAAGTCACCCCTTGCACCATAGGAAATATTTGTATGAATTAGAACTAGTAAATTTAACTTATTTTCTCATAGAAACTCGTAAAAATGCTTTTGTTCAAAAATATAGCCTATCCCTAACTATCTCCTTTTTGATTAGCTTACTCTACCCAAGTGAAATTCTAGATCACTGTTGCGGCTCGGTGGGCTCTGCGCCCCCTCACCTAGTGCTCGACTGCCTTGCGTCCAGCTCCTGTCCCCGAAGGACTTCCGCAGCTGCGGGTGGGCCCAGCCCACAACGGCGCGTTACGCCTACACGAACACGAAACAAATAACATACATAAAATTCACTAAATAAATATACACGACTAAAACATACGATATAAACAAATGTAAATATACATACCACGGGGAGAGTTAAGCTCTACCCCGGGCTACCGATGGGGACTCTGGCTTACTCACACTCACACACTAGCACACTCACACACTCTCCCGGAATCCAAGGGAGCTACCCACAGGCCGGCCGCGCGCCGCCAAGGCAGCAGCTACGGCACGGCAACACCGACCCCATGATGTTGACCATCAGCATCGAACAAGCTCCCAGCAAACCCTGCGCGGCCAAGGCGCTTCGTGATGTTCATCATCCTGGAATTCTATCCTCGCGCATACATCCAAACAATCCATCAACGATCCATCCAATCGCGCGAGGCACGGGGACGTAGACACGACGGCGATATCGTGGAAACCCAACCAATCAATAACAAAGGCGGCACGACGATAATAGTAAGATGATAAGACGAGAGAGGCCGCACTGGCGCGCGTACGCGCTATTTATAGCGGTGGCTGGGGGCGTGCCTACATGGTGTGGTCTCGGAGCGAACAAGGTAGCCGCCGTAAAGCGCGGCGACCGTGCTCACGACCGAGACGCGCGGCAGCACGGTGCTCCCGGCCACATGCTGTGAGGAGCGGTCGATCGCGAGCCGCGACACTCCCCCAGACAGCGAAAGGCATTGGGCGTTGCGAATAGGTGGTTACGTGATAGCACCGTGACCTGGGGCAACTGCCTTAACCTAAAAAATTTGGGCGATGATAGAAAAAAAAGAAACATGCGACATCGGTAGCGAGGGAACAGGCAATAACCCGCCCCGTGGTAAAGCACAAAAATAAACACAAAACTACAGGCGCTTTGACGCGCAGGTGACTACTAGAATAAACCGGAGCGCTCAAGGCGCTTACCAAATAAATATGAACAATGATTAAAATACTTCTACAGCTACTAAGCTATGTACAACGTTTCAGGTTAGACGCTCCAGCCCATAGCATCATCATCACTCCATCTCGCCATCTCACCATCCATCTCGACCAGGCGCTGATCTTACCGCGCATCCAAACCGCATTACGTCCCTCGTACCATCACATCTAACCACTCTAAATACACTAATACGTTCAACATCGAGGGAGCGTAATGCCCGAAACGAAACCTACCGCCCTGCGAACCTACATGACGCGCGTCCTGGAACGCACACCCTGAAACAAAGGGAAACCTCCACCCTCTCTTAATTTTGACTTAATTTACGATAAAAAAGCGCAAGATAAAGCAATGAACTGAGAGGGTGTTGGCTTCCAAACGAAAAAAGTACCACGTCTTTCCACAAACATTCCCAAATTTGCGCATCTAGCACCCATCCGGACCGAATTGGACGAAGGTCCAGCCTCCCGCCGAGGACAAAATGCCTCGACGAGGGGATCGACCCCGCAACTCAAGGACCCGGGGGTGCAGCACTGTGGGTCTGTTCAAGGAAAGACGGCCCAACCCATAGAGCAGATGTTACAGGAGCCTAGTGGACTGCTCGCAATGGCTCTATGGTCGAGACTTAAGCAAATGAGACGACGCGTCCGGCGACGGCTGCGACTTCCTAAAGTAGACTATACCGCTGGGCTGCTCGACCGAGTAGCAATGATAAACAAGTTAGAATAATCAGCGGAAAATTTGAATGATGCTAGGCGCTACTACAATAGGAAGTATAATTGGCAAGGAGCTGACAGACTAGGATGTTACACAGGACTTTACATGGCGCGATAGATGTTAACGCGCTCCACAAGTGCGCCAAATGATGTTAGCTAGTGGGTTAACTAGCGCGACGGATGTTACACAGTAAGTAGGCAAAGTATAAAAATAAAATTTTAGAGGCGCGCAGTCACAAGGATGTTTAAATGTAAAAAGAATTGACTGACGCGCAAATGCAAACGTTAGTAAATTTAGAAGTATAAACTGTAAAAAAGAAAAGTTCAAACCAAAATTCAAAATTAATGTTGCCTACTAGTACCATTCGAGTCCGCAGTATCACCCGGTTGCGCGTCCGCCTGCGCATCTTGTGGAGTTACCGCCGGTACTCGACCACGAAGCTCCATCAACTCCTGCCAAAAGTCGTCTTCAGACCGCGCGTCGAAATTCCTATTCCCGGCTCGCCGTTGGTCCCATCGTCCTGAAAATAGATCATCGTCACAAGATATTCTGAGCTGATTAGCAGCGCGTTCAAGCTGCGCAGTGGGACTTCCCTCTGGGCGTTCCGACGATGAATCCATGGCATGGGCATGGCTGATACTCAGCGCGACAACTAAATGATGACACATACCTGACCCACCTATTTAGCGCGTTGCGCTAAATGTATAGGCACGCAAACTGAGTATATTCAATGTTGGGATGTGAGCCAAGCTGCCGAGGAAGACACTACAGCGAGTGCGGGAGTAGGTGCTACCCGCAGGACCATTCAAATATTCGTCAAATCGGGTTACGCTGCATACCGAGTGTGTGAAAATAAAGGATGGAACAATGACACAACAAAACAGTAATGCAGGCGACAAGTAAGTCCGAGTATAGGCCAATCCAAGTAGAAGGGGATAAAT